TTTTTACATATTCTTTAAATATGCTGCCATCGTTCACGACTCTATTTTGTTATTCCTTCCGCTGCCTCCGCTTCAGCCATTACCTCTCGAATATGGTTGAAGTCAATTTCGACCTAAAAATTAGTAAAATTAGCAGATGCCTTGAGATTTCAAAGTTTTCTGCATTTTTAAGCTGCATTTGACAATATTGTCACTCGGAAAACATTTACCTCTCCTCTATGGCGAATAAACTTTTCATCGGTTTCTTCTCTGCCCAACTTTTCCAGATAACGCTGGCGATAGCCCATAACTACTTCCAGATATGCGTTGTGCTTGACTGCAATGTCCAGGGCCCTATAAATGCGGGTAAGGGAATAGAATAGACTGGTCATGATCATTCAATAGGTGAGAGACGCTCTTAAATCAACATGCACAAAGTCTTTTCTTCAATCTTTACATTTTTACTAAAGAAATTGGCTTACCGTGACCACCGCATCATGATGATATTAAGCATCACTGCGCGATAGATGCTACCTCCTTTTTCCAACAAATTATCCGCCTCTGGCACCTGCAAGAAGAGAATCTGAAATAAACTCTCATAAGAAAATAAAACTTGTCGTTCACACCTTTCCAGCTAGTAGTAACATCATGGCAGCGCGAACTTCTTTGTTCGGATGTGTCCTAGCTTCTGCCAGCATTTTAACCTTTTCTGCCTGGAGATTCATAGAGATTTCTACCAAAATCTAACCTCTACACAAATAAATTATTCAGTTTAACGGAATATCGAGATAATCGATTGACAAGATATTTATCTGACCTCTTCCAAAGCTCCATAAGCAATCTCAGCTGCGTAAGTGTTTTGCGCAATAGTAGCCAAGCCAGCAAGCATAGCCCAGGTAACATCACTCTAAATAGGAGAGTTGCTTCCAGCAAATCAAAAATCGATAATTTCAACCTTGATGTGACGACAAAGGCGAATCGCCTGATCCCATTTTGAGTTTGAAGTGTATTCCAAAAGAGATCCAGCAAAGGGAGGTATCGTAGTTGCCACTAACGAGCCATCGGACCTACGCAGGTTTATTACGTTGTCGGTGAAACTGAAAAATGAATCAT